GGGGATTTCTGCCTCAGTTTCTCCACCTTCGTCAGTGATCGGGCATGCACCCAGATGTACCCAGGGGCTGGTAGGGTCTGGCTGGATTTGGCAATGGATTCGCTACTGGCAAAGCTGCAAAGATAGAGTAGAGAAGTGCCTGCTAAAGGGCTTGGCATCAAAGTCCAGCTCGTGCCTCTTGTGACCTCCTCTCAAAGGTCTTTCCACTGGGGCAGGATTAATTGCAGGGCAGACTTCCCAGACCCGAGGCCCTCAGGATCCATGGGGTGGGGGTGATGCTCAGGGCCGAGGGCCCAGACTCCACCCATCACTCACCTCTTGGCCTCCAAGCTATTGATAAAATGCCCTGAGATTTGGGGAAACTTTCCCTGACAGCTGCCCCTTCCCCCATGTCTTCCCCTACATATTAAAGCAGGGTCTTCACAGGAGGCAACTCAGCTCAAGGCTCCCGCTGTTATTATGTTTGACTTGTTTAGTTTAGTTTTATTTTAGCAAAATGTGATCCTATCAGAAGAATACAAATAGATCAGCCACTAATTTTGCTCCCTTTGGACACCGAAGCCCCGCCCACAGTGGGAAGAGGTGGGGGCAGGAGGGCTGTTAACTGTCTTCCAAGAGACCTGGATTCATTTCCCCCGTTGTGTTCCCCCAGGGAGAGGCCTGCCCTCGAAGGGAGACCACCCGGTTAAAGCCTGGCCATCCGATCTGGTATCTGCCCATCTGTCTGTCTGTCTGTCTGTGGGATCAACAGCCTCCAGCCAGCTCAGCTCCTCACCAGCCCCAGCCCCAGCCAGCTGTAATTCCTGCCTGTTACAAGTGTTAACACCTGGCCTGGGGCCTTCCTCCCCCGCAGTCTCCAGGTGCCTCCCTGGGCCCAGCCCACTGACCCCCACAGGGTTTGACTGAACATGTTCTCAAGCCTCTGAAAGGCGGGTGAAGGTGGGAGTGGGTGGGGGAGGCACGGGACATCTGACAGATGGGCAAACTGAGGCCAGCTTCAGGCAGGCGCCGCCTGAGTGGGGGATGGGTCCCAGGATGATACAAAGAGAACTCAGGTGTCCTATTTCCCAGCTCACTGCCTTGTCTTCTGCAAAATGTTTTCACCCAAGCGGTGAGGCAGGGCAGGCAGGTGACCCCTGAGTGAAAGGTAAGGAAACAGAGGCCCAGGTGGGTGGGTCACTGGTCCACAGTCACACAGAGGCAGGCGAGTGGCTGACCCCCGCACAGGCCCCTTTCATCTGGGCCTCCACCTCTGGAATGTAGCAGTCACTGGCTGGGCCCTAATAAGACAGGTTCACTTTTCCCCCTCAAGAAGGAGAAGAAAGACAAGTTTCTCTACCAGGAGCTAACTGGGACTGACAAAGAGAATTATAGAAATCATTGCTGCTGTCACTGCTTCCTGTCCCATCTCTGCCACTACCTGGCTGTGTAGCCCTGGAGCACATCACTTCCCTCTGCGAACGTCTGTTCGAGCCCCCTTCTAGCTCTTCATTCTGGGATTCGGTGTCCAGAGCCCTCCCAGGACTGGGACTAGAGTGCAGGGGCCTCTGAGAGGGGGGTGCCTTCCTTGAGGGGGCGGCATGGACAGAAATGTCAGCCAAGGTGGGCAGGCAGGAGGGGCTCAGATGCTACAAGGACTGGACTTCGCCTGCCGGGGTCAGAGTGAGAACGGGAATCTGAGGCCCAGCCACTGTCCCAGCCCTGCCGAGGCCCCAGCCCTAAGAGGTGACTCACCCTTCACAACCAAAGAACCACCTGAGAAGAGAGGGCGGGAGCAGTCCTCAGGCAGACAGTGAGCTTGCACGCGGAAGGCTCTGCCCTTACCCCCCGCCTGGGATCCCGGCTCAGCTGTGCCCCTCAGAGCCAACCCATAGGACCCTTGTCTCCTGCTGGGCCTGTGATCAGGGGTCTTCCCTCCAGGACCATGGCTGCTCCCCAAGCACTGGTACTATTCATACCTCTAGGTCATTGTCTGCAAACATATCCATGGACACACAATCACGGGCCCAGCCACCGTCACTGGCACTTGGGAACAGCGTCATAGGCAGACCCAGACACAGCCCTCACACGGCTGTGAACGTGAGGATCACACACATACTTACAAGCATAATCTGGTCATGGCCATGAGCACTGATATTCATGCGCAAAGACCCTTACACTGCCATGAAGGTGTGGGCACACACAAATGACACATGCACACACACACAACTCATATACAACATTCACACACAACACACATACAACAGTACACACACACACACTGTACTCACACACTGACATATAGCACTCACACATATAGGACCCTGACATACACATACACAGCACTCACACATACATACAACTCGTATCCAATATCCATACACACAACACACATACACACAACAGTACACAAACACACTACTCACACACATGGACATACACACGGTACTCACACCGATACAACACTGACATACACATACACAGCACTCACATACACAACAGTCACATCACACAGTACTCACACACGACACTCCCATACACACACACACACACACACACACACACACACACACACGACACACTCACATGCCCGGGCATGAACATAGTCACACACAGCGTCACAAGAGTACACAGGCGCTGACCCTTACGTGGGCATAGATACTTCTAGACTTCTCTCTCTTTCTCTCTCTCTCACATACACACATCACAGAATCAGCCACTTGCTAACACTTGTGTGCAGAGACACAACACACATCCTCACCTTGTCACAGGTGGCGGGTCCCCCAGGGACCCCGGCACGAGTTCGCACTCACAGTTGCCTAGTCACAGTCACAGACACTCCCACATACAGAGACACACTAGTGTATAGATGACACTTTTTAGGCTCATAGACACACGCATACATGCACACACACAGAGGTGGCCACAGGCACTGACACACACACGAGCATACCTTGATCTGCCCGCCCCTGTGTCTCTCTCTCACACACACACACACACACACACACACACAGGTCTCTCCTCGGCTCAGACAAAGCAGCAGCCCTGGTCTGCCCCCCACCGCCCCCCGTCAGTTTGCCTGCCCACCCCAAGCCTTGTGCCTAGCATTACCATAGGGCCAATGTCCAGGCCTTCCAGGTTTACCGTCTTTCCCATCATTTCTTCCTATCGGCCGGTCCCTATCTCAGTGCTCCCCAAGATACCATCATGCCCCAGACACACCACCACCACCTACCGGCTCGGCTCTGCCCCGGGAAGCGCCTCCTCCAGTACAGAGGGCAGGGGAACCTGGTCTCTCTTCCTTGGTCCCTGCTGCCTGCAGGGCTCCAAGCCTTCTATTCCTATCCCCCCACCCCCCACCAGGGTCCCCATGAAGTCAAAGAACAGCATGGCCTTGGCCCAGGGATAGGAAGAAGGTCAGGGATGGCGGGCGAGGCAGGACTGATTTTGGTAGCAGCCTTCCCCAAAGACAGAGCCCTGGTCCCGGAGTCCCTGGCCGCTCCACCGACTTCTTTATGTACAGGAGGCCTCAGGCCAGCCCAGTGCCATGGGGAAGGATGGACCAGGCAGAAGAAAGACTCCTCCTTGGGTGTCTGTCCTGGGACCAACTCCCAGCACCCTCTAAACCGAGACTGTCCGCCATACCCTGCTCCTGCCCCCCCCAGCCCTCAGGGGTTCCCAAACACCCAGATACAATCGCTGCCACCCCCAAACAGCTAGAGGCAAATTCGGGGTGTGGCCCCCAAATTTCACTGGCTCTACTCCCCTTTCCCCAGGCTCGGGGGTAACAAGGGAAGGCAAATGGGGGCACACAGGCAGCACCCGTACCCCAGAGGCACTCCTCTGAGGCTTTCACCCCAGGGGCCACAGCCCCACTCTTCCTCACAGATCCCAAATTCTCCTTTCTTACCAGCCACCCCCCAGACCCAGGCTCTCCTCCGTCCAGGAGGGGAAGATTCTTTAATTAAAGTTTTCTGGAATGCTGGGGGCTGGAGACCGGGGAGAGGCGGGGTATAATTTAGAGAACTGGTTTCAGTGTCTTTCTCCTCTGGCCCCTAGGACCTGCCGCTTGGAAAACAAGGGGATTCCCCGGATCTGGGGCACCCAAGGGGTTGTCTATTCCCCAGTTGCCCCCTCATACACGCACACACATCCCCAAGCACCGTGCCTGGTTCCCCAGCCGTATTTACTAAAATGTCTTTTGTATCCGCATTTCTCAGGGCCGGAATGCATCCTTCCTTCTCTCCCTTTCTCCTCGGTCCTCGGTTTTCCAAAAGGAAAGAATTTGACATGGAGAATTGGGGTTTTGGTCAAAGAACAACCAGCCCATCCCCTCCCAAACAACTACGTTTTGAAGAACCCCCCCTCTTTGCCAGGATAGACAAGCAAGAAATGAATAAAACCCGAATTTAATGGCATCACAGAGCAGCAAAAACCATATTCACTTCACAGGCTCAAGATTAATCTAGAGCAGAGTGGGGAGAATCTAATGAACCCCCCCATTCCCTTGCCCCCAGGACCACTGAAGCCTTTGCGTTCTGAAACACGAAGGCAAATGGGGGTTATTGTGGGACAATCTCCTGACGGAGGCTGCCGGCGGAGACACGGGTGGCAGGGAAGGAACAAGATGATTTTGCCCATGAAGACCCCAAAATGGAGAAGAGGAGTGGCTGGGCCCCAGGGACAGCGCTGGATTTCCAGAAACCCCGTTGCAAGCAAATGGAGGGTCTCGGGGCTCCCAGGCTGAGGCGGGTGGAGGGTTAGGATCTAAGAATAAGAGACCTTTGGCGACGGGGAAAGTCGTCTAGCTTCTGCAGCGAGCGGCGGGGAAAATGGTGATCATCAGAGAAGCCAGGGGTTGGATTCTGAAGGCGACACCAGCAGAAAATCCAGGAGGGGCGAGCGGGTGGGGGGCTGGAGGGAGGCAAGGAGAAAAGCGCCCCGGCCCTGCCGCAGCCCACCCCCAGCCGGCGCCCCCCACCTTCCCTGGACACGGAGGGCAGACAAGAGGCGAGCCTTACCACCAAATTGGGTAGCCGGCGAGGACCCTGGTGCCACAGAGCAGGAGGCCGAGCAGCCCGAGCAGGTGAGGCTCCATTAGAATCGGCGCCGAGGAGGAAGTTTGCCCGCGACCATGAAGAGGGGGAGTGACGCCCCCAATAGTTGGAACAAAGTCCACTTGAGATTGGAAATGACTTTCGGGCTTGTCAGAAGCGCACCTCCACCCGCAGCCGCCCCCCTCGCGAGCCGAGCGCGGAGCAGCCGGGTTTGAGGATGTCAGCGAGCAGCCAATCAGCGCCCGCGGCCTAAGGTAAGAGATGAGGCTGTAGTTCAGCCTGTCAATCACGCGCCCCTCCCGCCCGGCCCACGCCTCGGCGCCGGGAAGGGCAGCGCCCGGCAAACTTGGGCAAAGCCCGCTCCCCGGACCCGCTGGCAACTTGAGGGGACACGCACGCTGGACCCTCTGCTGGGCTGGGACTGCCGCAGCCGCAAGCCAGCCAGGTTAAGGGAGCTGGGGCTCGGACGGGGGCGTTTTCCGAGGGGCCGGGATGGCGCGAGCACTGACGGGTGGCTCCTTTCTCTTGGGGGACCGTGCCCCCTTGGCACTTGGGCCCGTGAGGAATCGACAGTGGAAAGCACAAGGATGTTTCCAGAGGCCTCGCTCCGGCAGGACGGCACTAGGGAGTCCCCGGGGGATTAGGAAAGGCACCCTCTCCGGGTCTGCAGCCTCCCGAGCCCTGGAGCCCGCGGGCCGCTGGACCCGCAGGAGGTCGCCTCCCCGGTGTCAGAGAGACGCGCGAAAGGGTCCGCGGACGCTCGCAGGTCGGGCTGCGGCCGGCGCCGGGGGCCAGAGCCGAGTGTCATTTGAGTCTTTTGTCAGGGATCAGATCGGTATCGGGACCTCCTGCTGCCTTTGCATTTCCTGCAACTGACACCAGCGGCCAGTTGCATTTCCTGCTCTCGGGGCCGGGTCACTTTCTCCTCCGCCAGGGCTTCAGGCCGCGCCTCAGCCCGGGTCGGAAGAGCGACCCGCAGCCCATTTGGGTCTTGAGGGTGAGCCCTTTGGGGCCGGTGAAACGCAGCAGCCGGGCCGAGAGCAGCTGGGGGGCTCGGAGTAGTCCCGCTGCCCTCCAGCCCTCCTCGCCCCCGCCCCCCCCCCAACTGCCGGACCCTCCTCGTGGAGGCCCTGATCCTTCTGCTGACAGGGGGCTTCAACCTGGGGTTAAGGGGTAAAGCCCCTCTTTCCCTGTGTGGACACCAAATGCATACAAATACTCCACTTCTCCTGTAGGACAAGAAGTCCCTCCAAACCCGCCATGAGGGTCCTTTCTCTCCTCTCCGTCTCCACAACCAAGCAAGTAGGTCTCAGCCCCGAGTGGTGCTGAGATTGGGGCCAGACTGAGGGTGACTCGCCTTCGTCACCTGGGTAGCTTCCCCCACAGTTCCCCTCCCGAGCCACCCGAGGCAGCACCCGGGGCGCTGGAGCAGTCTGGGCCTGCGGCCGGTGAGGGGGGCTGCGACTGCCGAGAAGGAGAGAACGAGCCGACTCCGGTCCCGCTGAGACCCGGAAGGCAGGCACTCGACCAAGTGGGGGGCGCGGCTGCAGGAAGTCCCACGCCCAGGGGCCCGAAATTCCTGGCCTTTGATCTGGGCCCACGGTGCCCACGGCTCGAACCTGCCGCCCTGCCCTTCCCGCGAGCCCTCTCCGCTCCCGGCTGCTGCGGGCGCGGGGAGCGAGGGGACTGGCCCCGGGGGCACCAAGGGTCGGGAGAGCCGCCCGGGCTTGTCACGGCTTCTGCTGCGTTCCTAGTCGGGTGCTCGACTGGAAGGGGTGGAGGGGGGAGAGATGAAAGAGAGGAGGGCAGGGGAGAAAAGGGAGAGACGGAGTCCGGGAGAGAGAGAGAGAAAGGGAGGGAAAGAGTGAGAGAAGGGGAGGGGAGATGAGCGACCCAGGGAGTCCGAGGGAAAGACGCGGGGAGAGGGCGAAGGAGCAGCAAAGCGAAGCAAACACCCGAACTTGCCCAGGACCGGGCGAGGGCTGCGGAGATGCGGCCCGCAGACACTCCCCCGTGGCTCGGCTGATTCTCGGGCGCCCCGTTGCTGATTCACCTGGAAAGGGGGTCGCAGTGTGCCATTGTCCAGAGTGCTGAGTCCCAGGACCCAGGCTCTAGGAGGAGGGAGTCCTCCACCCCCACCCCACGTGGACCGAGGCCTGAGTTCTCTGGCCCCCATAGACTCTCAGCTGGTGTTCTGATCTAAGTTGGCAATTAGAGCTCAAATCCTATGGGACGACTTGGGGGACCCAGAATCCCATAATCATCTTTCTGAGGGCTGGTGGGGGGGGGGGCGCTGGGAAGCTGCTTTCCCTGGCCACCAAGAAACCACTGGGGTCAGTGTGGCGCAGAGGAGGAGGCTGGACTAGATGGCCTTTTGGGGCTATTTCTGGACCCCAAGATTCCACAGGTGCCAGCTCTAGGAGATGGGAATAAAGTGGGTGCCCTGTGCCTGCGGGTGGGTGGGGGGCTGGCTGAGATCTTCCCAGGGGAGCCCAGCCAGCGCTGTGGGCTGCACAGACAAAACTGGTCATTTCCTGAAGGACTGTGAGTACCCCGGATGCCTCTTCCAGGCAACCTGGGGACATCGGCAGCCCCAGGTCTGAGCATCCGGGCGGGGAACGGGAGACAGAGATGGGAGAATGCCTGGGAAACAGAAGCGGGTGCGAGGGTGGGATTCCGAGGCTTGCTGGTCGCAGGAGCCCGGCCAAGCAAACGCAGGAGAGGAGTGGAGGGGCGGGGTGGGAACCTGAGAGAGGCCAGCGTGGGGCGCTGGTGAACGGGGGCGTGGGTGGGAATTCCACCCCCCCCCCGAAAGCCTCCAGAGGAGGGGATTCATGGGCCCTTTCCTCTCCCGCGCTGGGTGTCCTTCCTTCAACACAGTCTTAACTCCCTTCCTCCTGCCCGCCCTGCGCAGCCGGAGGGAGCGCCGGAATGGTCCCTGCCCGGGCGAGGAGGGCGCCCCTGCGCCACGTGTCACAGACAAACACCCTCTGTATTTAGACACCCCGAGCCCCAGGGAAGGTAGGCTGCCCTTGATGGGCAAAGGGTTAAAGTCACAGCTAGGGTGGGTGGCTTCCACGAGGTGGACCTCCCGGCCTCCGCCCTGAACTGGAGAAGGGTGCTCTTGGCTGGGGGCCGAGAAGGCAGTGAGGGCTACGGGCAGAGAGGTGGCACGTGGGAAGCACTTGCGTTTTGTGTGTGAATGTCACAGACCTCAGACTTGCGGACGGATCCCCCATCCCCGCCCCACCCCCACGCCTTTAGCTGTCGGGAGGTACCTTTTGATGTGCGCTCTCCCGCGGCACTCGGTCGGCCGCTGTGTATTGAGCGCCGCTCGGCGGGGCCCCCTGCCGAGGCTCCGAGGACACAAAGGAGACCGCGCCAGGCCCCCGCCAGCCCGCCCGCAGGGGGCTGCCCGTCTGTCGCAGAGAGGGAGGAGGAAATCTCCGATGGAGGCGCAGTGTGATTCATTTTCTGCTTGGAAGATGCTCGGGGACTGCCGAGGCCCTGAGCTGGACTCCCAGACCAGCCTAGGGAGGCTGGAGGAAGACAGAAAAGCCACTGCAGGCGGGGAAGCAACCAGTGCAAAGGCCCAGAGGCCTAGAACAGCTAGACTCGAGACTCAGGCGGAGAAAGGCGTGAGGGGGGCGTGTGGGGTTCTCCACCGCCTCTGGTCCCTAGAGAGCGCATTTTCACCTTTTCCTAAGAGCTATAGGAACCGCAGAACAGTTTTAAGGGAACTCCCTAGAGGCCACTGGGAGGCTGGACATCAGACACCAGAAAGGGCAGCCTGGAGGAGGGGGCACCGCGTGGGTGGTGGGCGCAGGAATTAATCGGACAACGTTTCTTAAACCGCCCAGCTTGGTTCGCTGGCATCGAGGCAGCGTCCAGGAGATGCCCGTGGGGTGAAAGCTCGCGACCTGCACAGGATAGGCACATAGGAGAGCAGCAGATGCCCATGGAACAAAACCACACGGTTGTGCGTGCAGGGATCTGCGCCGGAGCCTGACAACCACACCCTCTCCAGGCTCCAGCGCGCCCCCTAGCTGCGGTGCTGTTAGTAAGGCAGGAAGTCAGCAGGCAGAGGAAGGCGGCGGCGCCACCCCGGCGAAAGCAGGCGCCTTCGCTGGTGAGCAGCCGAGATCTTTGGAGATCCTGGTTAAGTACACAACCTCGTGAGGGAATGACTTTAATTTACCTCACAATCCCGAGCTTAGCTGGGGACAGAGTGTGCTTGGTTTTGCGCTCCCCTCACCTCCGCACCTAGGTGACTCGTCTAAGAAGGTGGGCCAGTTCCACACGCAGGACGCGGGGCGGGCTGAGTTGACGCGATGTCCCCGGCTCACACTCCTGGGCGCAGCCGGGCGGGGGCCCTGAGGACGGCCCGCGCTGGGCCTTGACTGCCTCAGCCTCCTGTGGAGAGATGGGAGGCTGCCAAGAGCAGGGTGAGGTCACCGAGTCCTCCCCGGTCCACCCGGACCCCACGTTCACAGGTGCAACCCGCGGGAACGTGAGAGATTTTCCCTGTCACGGTAGTTCCTCCTGTCTAAGTCATCTTCAGCTCCCCGGGGGGCATTTTGGAAAGTGTTTGGTTTGGGGTCAAAGTCTTTTAGAAGAGAGGGAGCAGCAGAAGGAATGGGTGGGGGGCGCCTGAGTCTATTCAGTTGAGAAGTGGAGATAAAACTTATATCTCATAGGGAGTTGTCAGTGTTAAATGAGAAAGAACAGTGCTGACAGGATGCCAGACCGGGGATGGTGAATAACAAATACTAGATTTCTTTCTTCTCCTCTTTGGAGCTTGAGGAATAAGCTTCTCTCTCAGATGTCTCCTGTCCCTGTCAGTCCTCCTCAGGCACCTGGGAATCTCCTCCAGAAGAATTTATCCAGGAGAGTCTCGCCTGACATTCCAACCTGAGACTTAGCTCAGAATCTTCCACTAGCTGCTCCCCACCTTGTTCCCCTGGGCCCCTTGTTGATGTTGTTAGGTGCTATCAAGTCGGTTCTGACTTATAACGACCCTATGTACAACACAAGGAAACACTGCTGGGTCCTGCACCATGCTCACAATGGTTTTTATGCTTGAACCCATTGTTGCAGCCACTGTGTCAATCCATCTCATTGAGGGTCTGCCTCTTTCTCGCTGACCCTACACTTTACCAAGCATGATGTCCTTCTCTAGGGACTGATCCCTCCTGACA